GCCAGGTCCAGGCCCCGCAGGCGGATGCCCACCTCCCCAAGGAGGATGTTCTCCCAGAAGCCTTCCTCGCTCAGCACGCTCAGGCGCAGCTCCCGCTGCTGCAGGTCCCCCCTGGGGATCCCATCGTAGACCAGCTGTGAAGCAGACGGGGGCAGACTCTCAGCCACAGCCCACCTGGAGCCCCCCAGCCCCAGCCCCAACCCACCTACCATCTCGTTGTAGGTGGGGTTGCAGGTTTTTCGTGCCACTTTGGTTTTCCTCTTGGTGGTTTTCTGGGGGTCGGGCAGCAGGTAGGTCTTGACGTAGGGGTCAGGGTCATTGCCATCCTGCAAGGGTGGCTGTGGGGCAGTGAGGGACACCCCCGTGAGCTTGGCAGTGGGGCAGACCCCCCACCCTGCCATCACTGTGTACCTACCAGCCCTCGGATGTGCATCACCATGATGAAGAGCTTGTTGTTCTTGTAGGAGATGGAGAGCTTCACCTCCCCACCGACCTTCCCCAGGGGCCGAGCCCACGTGGCATCTGGAGAGGAGGAGAGGAGGAGAGGAGGGACGTGGGTGGGATGGGACCCCCTGCCACCACCCCCATGGTGCCAGCCAGCACTGCCCCCAGCCCCCTTACCTGCTGGCTTTGGGGTCGGGTTGGTGCCAGCTGCCTTCTCATCCCGTGGCAGGGGGTGGAAGAAGGTGTAGATGAGGTCACACTGTGGGGAGAAGAGATGACATGACAGTGGTGACCACGTCCCCCCCCATTCAGGACCGGTCCCTGGTGCGTGTGCCAATATTCTACGTGGTTCATTGACCCCCAAGCAATTTCCCACCTCTTGGGAGGCAGCAGACCCCCTCCCCCCTGCTGGGGACCCCCTCCCCAGCTCCACACCTCTGCCACTTCGGGGGCTGCGTGGATGAGGTGCCAGATGTAGCCGTTGAGCTCCTCCTTCCGCCGCTCGGCCACCGCTTCGCCCCGAGACCTCCCGATGACAAACCTGCTGGGGAAGCTGTGGGGGTGGAGAGACAGCTGAGCCCAGGGTATGGTGGACAGCCCTGGGGGTCTGCTGGGGGCCTGTGGGGGTACCTGGGCAGCAGCGAGGAGGGGAAGAGGAGGCGCAGCTTGTTGTGCAGCTCCTGGAACTCCTCAAAGGTGCGCTGGATGAAGGTCACGTCACCCGGGCTCTCCCGCTGCACCTTCACCACGTAGGTCTGTGGGGAGATGGGGCTGGTTGTGGGATCGGGACCCCAGGGTGCTCCAAGTCCATAGAGGGCCAGGGAGGAGCACCGGGACAGAACCATCAGAGCTGTCCCTTCGCCTCGTCCCCACTCACGTAGCCCTTGCTGGGGTTGAAGACCCGCTCGTGGCGGCAGAGGAAGACGTCGCGGATCCGGCCGGACGCCTTGAGGGTGTGTGTGCGGGGGGCAAAGGAGAGGGTGGGGCGGGTGTCAGAGCCCGTGAACTTCATCTGCGCCAGGTTGTGGATGAAGAAGTTGAGCTTGGTGGCCACGCTGCCCAGGCTGGACTCGATCAACCTGCAACAAGGCCACCCCACGTTCGGCATGGAGGAGTCTGTGAGCCTGCCGAGCCAGTGCCCATGTCTCCTTCCATGAGGGTCCCTCTCCTGTCCCATCACCCACCCATGTCCTCTACCTGGTGAAGTAGGTGGTGGCATCGGCATCAGAGTCCTGTGGCCTCAGGGCATCGTAGACATACTTGAGGTCCTCCAGGTCGGAGAGCTCGGGGATGCCACAGGACAACATCTGGGAGGCAGGGCAGAGGGTGAAGCCAGGAGAACCCCTCTGCCCTGCCTGAGGGGGAAGGGTGTGTGTGCCCCCCAGTTCTCACCAGCCCCAGGAGGTTGAGGAAGAGGTGGGTGTGCTTGCGGATGAGGTTGTAGGCCTGGCAGCACAGGTCAACGAAGTCGTGGAAGCGGCTGGAGGGCTTGTCCCCCCCGTTGATGACATAGGCCATGTCCGAAGTGAAGACAAATGGTGCACGGTCCCTGCGCCGGGGAAGCAGGCACAGAAAGTGACCATGGCCAGGGGGTCACCCACCACCAGGACCACAGCGTGAGATTTCACCCCGTGAAAGCGGGGTGAACACCAGTGCTTGAGAGCTGCAGCCCTGCAGGGAGGAGCCCGGGTGAGGAGGATGCTGGAGATGTTTCTCACCTCTTGATGTTGCCGAACATCTGCGCGTGGCCCAGGAACCTGCCGAAGTCGATGTGGAACATGTGGCCCGTGGTCTTGAGCATGATGTTGTCGTTGTGCCGGTCACAGATCCCCAGCACGTAAGTGGCCACGCAGCAACCAGCACAGGAGTAGATGAAGTTCTCCACAGCCTAGGAGGATAGAGAAAGGGAAGGATGGAGCCACCAAGCATGGAGAAAGGCTGGACATGCTGGGAAGCGAGGGGTCTCATCCCTGGAGAGGGGAGAATGAGGAGCAGGGACCCTGCCAGGCTCCTCCTCACCTTCTCGTACTCATCCTCCTCGGGGTTGTGTTTCTGCAGCCAGTCTGCCAGCGGCCGGTCTTTGAAGGAGCCTGTCACCCCGTGCTCCACCTGGATTTTGCGTAGGGTCTCGGCGTTGGGGATCATCTCCACCATGCCTGGCAGCCAAGACAGCAGGGTGAGATGCATCCATCCCACCCAGGGGGCACCAAGACCCCCAGCCCCTTTTCCCACCTGCTCCCCAGCCATCACCATTGAGTGACAGCCTGCAATGCCACATTCCCACAGATGGTGGGATCAAACCCAACGGTGGATCACAGCTGCTCAGAGCAGCTCCTCTCTCGCAGAGCCCCAGGACTCCTTGTGCTGTCACCAGCCTGAGAGCATCCAAACCTGGGGCGTGATGCCCCTGGGGGACACCCTGACACTGGGTTACCTCGTCCACGGCCGGTGGAGAAGCATCGGAAGATGACCATGCGCATATCCAGCCCTTCCTGCACCCAGATCTTGTTCATGATCCGGATCATCTGCAGCGTCAGCATGTCCTGCCGCAGGTCATCACCACACTGAGAGGGACAGGGAGGAGCTATCAGAGCCGAGGGGCAGGGGGGGAGCAAAGCCAAGCCAGCCCCAGGTGGCCTGGGGCAGCAGTGCTGGGGGTTTGGGCTTTGCCAGGAGGATGAACTCACCTTGAAGATGACTCGGATGTTTTCTCCGAGGGGATCGACGTTCTGGAAGGAGAGCTTCAGTGGGACAGCGTTGGAGTTGAAATAGGAGCAGTCCTGCCGTGGAGAGGAAGGCGCAGACCATCAGGGCCGAGCCAGGGGTGGGGCAGAGGAGCCCCCCCAACACCCCCAGCTCTGCCACTCACCCGGGGCACGATCCCCTTCACCAGCAGGCTGGGGCTGAGCGGCAGGCGGCACGACCCGTTGGCCTTGAAGAACTGCTTCACGTCCTCCAGCCCCTCGCGGAGGATGCCCTGCAGGGGTGTGGGGTGGGCACGGGCTGTGGGGCTGAGATACAACCCGGCAGCCCCCTGCACCCCCTTCCACCGCCCCC